AAATAAGCGAATAGCTTCACAAACTCATTGTACGAACATAAATTCCGTATACCATATCTCCAATTCTTTATTTATACATCATTCGCAAATTGGTCGAATATCACCACGCGCTATAGTTTGTTGGATTTTGTACACAATGTTTCTAACGTTCTTTTCACAGTTCTGTTCTTCAATTGTTTTTTTCCAATGTCCGAAACATATTGTTGCTTTTCTGAACTCGTTTACTGATATACTACTTATATCTGATTATAAGTAGCACTCACTACAATTCTCTACCCCACACCTGGTATGAAATAGTGATATCTAGGACTACCCCTATTTTCCAGTTTTTGTGGTGCATTTAATGTAGCAATGTTATTCTGGAATAAATGTCTTATCAGGCTAATAATGCAACAATTTAGTGTAATTTATTCTGTATTCAAATGTTATCTGATGACAGTTTACTTTGTAACTGCTAGAAAATTTCCTAATTCAGGAGTTTCTCGCTTGTAAACTTATGCTGTGTGTTTTTACCCAGCCATTTTCAACGCTTAGGAATTCACTGCCTTCTCTTTTACTTGCATGATATATTCATTAAGTGAAGGCAGTATTTATACAACACATTTCTAATGGATATAACTTGCATTATTAGAACATGTAATTGATTGAAGTATACTGAAAAGTTGAGTGTAATCTCCCTTCTTGCTTGCTAGGTTAACTCAAACACAATCAATTTCTTGCTTAAGTGTTGCTTAGTGTTCACCTGTTCATAGGTAAATAGGTGTAAAGAAATATTTCTTTCTTTATACTGTGGTAATTTCTTGTCTTTGTGTCCTTATTTAGTTCTAATGGTCATTTCCTGTCCTGTAGCATTTCTCCCGTCTGTTTGGTCTTTACTTCTGTGCAATCTGTCCACATATCGGTGTATGTAAATATATTATATGCTTTTTTGTGTGTGCTTATTCTGACTTCCTGCTGAGACTCATATGTAGAGCTGCATAGTATAAATCATGTTATATTTTCTATAAATATTTGAAAATATTGAAAAGAAATTACTTGTTACCTGTTGAATGAATACTACGGTTGCGACCAGTATATATGTTCATGCTACCAATAATTCTATATTATTTTAAATTTGGAAGTTCCGGTTAATAAAATTGCAACTATGTGGGTGTAAGTTTTAATATTATGTCTTCTATTACCCAACTGGAAAGGGATATTACTAAGAAATAACTAAAAGTAGCTTATTACTAAGTATATGACCTAGTGAGTTACCCTGGACTACTTCAATTCAAAGTGGCAAGCCTCCCACCCCATTAGTCATTTGATAGCACTGAAGTCTAAATCAGCTTTCAGTGGAGGTATATCCTGGATTCCAGTCATATGGAAGTGAGTAAGGTTGTATTCAACTTCAACAATAGTCCGACACGAAAATACCGACTGTTGTAGATAGATGCATACGTGTGTGTATGTTCAGTTACCTGAAGACAAATATAATACAAATGCATATCTTAATCATATACACCATGTCTCCTAAGTGGGACTTCTTTCCGTCTTTTTGAAATATGTTGCCTGACATCAGTTCTAATCCACCTTAAATTAGGCAGATGTCTTAAATCTGTAATTATGAATCAAAGTTAGTTTAATTTAGTGAGAACTGTTGTCTCTAAGGGTGTCAAAGTTAGCCAAGATCGGGAAAGCAAAAAATGCATTCGTTATTCTGGAATACGTGTGAAGACATAAGAGCATTTAAAATAACCAACAAGATCAGAATTTTGAACACTAATGTCAAGTCAGTACTTTTATATAGTTCAGAGACTTTCTGGAGAATTCACGAAAAATATTTTCAACGACTGGCTGAGGACTTTCATCAACAGCTAATGAAGATCAGGTAACCAGAAAGGATAAGCGGAATAAAATAAAAATCGGTTGACATACTGTGATAAAGTCGTTGAATGACACCACACACCAGGTCCTATAGCAGAATTCGAATTGGAAGCAACCAGTTGGATGCTGGATTGAGAGCAACATTGAAAAGAAAACGTGAGGAGAAAAACGCTTTAGGCAGTCGTGATGCCAGGTGAAAGTGCTAGCAAAGAACTGACTGAGATGGAGATGTGCCACTCAGAAAGCGAGGAATGCTGAATTTGTCACGAATTAGTCGAATATGAAAAATAATAGACGACTAGACCAGTAATCCAGTGACTATAAACCACAGCGTTCTGACATTGTAATTGTATAGTTTTTGGCTTGATTTCTTGAAGGTTAGTAGGTTTGTACTATCACAAAATCTCGAAGTAGAAAGGGAAGGCTCTCTAATACTCTCCGGTTCTTAGTGGTTAGTTCACTTTTATCATTTCTTGGCGCAATCAACTTTAAAATTGGAGACAGTTTCGCTTGTAACTGAAGCGGTAGCAAACAGTATCAGAAGGCCTGGTCTCTGTATACAGAAGAAGTATGCCCAACCTCTTTGTCTACCTTTTCCTACAATAAAATCAACAAATCCTCCATAAATATTAACAATTTACATTTCTGTCCCATTCTTTTCTTTTCTCTTCCTTTTTTCCTTTGTTTCATTGACAAACGTTTGTTTGAGACATTTTACAACCTAATTACCATTCTTGTGATGTCTACTACTCTTGGTTTACGTAATGCTTGTTTTTATGTGCACATACTCCTCTTCATTCCACTTCATTGAATTATTTATTACCTGATAATCGTTCACTAAAAGTACTTTTTTGTTTACATCACACCATGGTTGCTATTTCATCGTTATTATTGTTAGTTGTCGCCCTTGAACTAATGTCTAGTCTATCCTATTTGTTCGTTAATTTCTCTGTACAATTCATATTGTCTCACATACGACTGACTGTGCTCATTCTTGAAACCTGTACTTTTGTTGACTTATATATAACTGACTATTGTTATTCCATCTGATACTTGTTCCACAATATACTTTCTGGTATAATTCTAATTTGCCTTTACTCTGGCTATTGTATGCTAAAATTAGTGGTTTTATAATCGTAGAGCCTGAAGTCAAATATACTGAAAACAATTGTTCGTTCTAGTTATTTTTAGTTCCTCTTGTCACGAATATTTTTTCGAATAAATGTAGCTTTAGCCGTTTAAATTAATATCAGGTAGTATAATATTTATCAGTAGTATCTTGAACACCGGTAGACTGTGTTACTCTTGCTATGCCATCACGCCTTTCACGTAGAGAATTATAAGTTAAAAATAGGATTGCTTTTGAAAAGTTAGAAGTGGTTGAGCCATGAAGTCATTGACTGTTGGTTTTAGTCATATTGGGGGTGGGTGGGTGTTGTGTAGATTATCGTCTGGCTAGGATCCCTGTGATACTCTCACCTTGTGATTCATTAAACATTCTTAATTGCATTTTAGATTTTCCCGTCGATTGATTGGACCGAAGTGCTCGGTCTCAGGTTGATATGTCGGCTTCTTGTGCAGATGATTCGACAATGTCTGGGCATGTAATTAGAATTTAATTGGTGAATGGTGACTAGCAGTGGAATCCAGGATGCTCATTTCGTTCTATTTAGGACTCGTGGTCAGCTGTATGTAACTGCATTCCCCAGTGAGTGATAATGTTCCCACCGAGGCTCGAACCCAGTGCCCATATTTTCAAACGCCAAAGCGTTATCCACTAGACTACTTGGGCCATGAGAGCCACCTCTTGTGCAACGGGTCATAATAATTATTTTTAATTGAATTTTAAAATAATAATAAATAGGACGAAATGCGCATCCTGACTGGATTCCACTGCTACCCACCGTCCACCAATTAAATTCAATAAAGATTCATTTAGTTCTTATTTTTCTTCTTAGACTTATCCCTCCTCCTTCATATTCCTGTTTGTTACTGTTTCTTCGTATTTCTTTCCTCTACCATTTTTGTGTGATTATTTATGTAGTGTGACAACTTGAACTGTTCCACTTTTGTGTAAACTTTTACAATGATGATTCACTTCAGTATTACAGAGCGCAAACAATCGTCAATATAAACTTTATATTTGTAATATTTAACATCCTTTCGTGTACAGAATAATAAATAACAATGTACCCTAGAATTTATTGTATCAAGAGTGGGAAATATATATCTTCAAGATTTTAATACTGACTTTTCAATTCTTCCATGTCAAAACTGCCTACTAGCAGTGATGATATCCCTGATTGTGTTGGACTGGAACATGCGGACAGACATTTTTTGGACAACAAACACCAGTCATCATCATCAACAAGAGAAATCTGAAGGAAGTTGCCTCTTTCACCCACCGAGGCAGTCAGTATCTTTCTAACCACAGAATGTTAAAACCAGCCAGGATAGAAAAAGTAAAACAAGTTTACATTAATCTGAAGTCAGTATGGGAAGCTGTTGCCTTTAAGATAAGGAACAAGATTCCGATTTTCAACACCAAAGTCAGTTATATCTTCTATATAGTTTAGAGACTCAGCACGATACGAAAAGCATTTCAAATAGGCTTCAGATTTTCATCAACAGCTGTCTTCGCTCGATACTGAAAATCAGATAGTCATAAAGGATTGACAATAAGGAAGTCTGGCAATGGACATTCTGAGAATCTGTTGTCCAACAAATATGCTAGAATGAATGGAGGTAGATTGGACACACGCTGAGGAGACTATCAAGTGACATCAAGCGTCATGTCCTTGAGTGGAACTCGAACAGAAAACGACGAGTTAGGTGTGTGTCTGAAAGTAACATGGAGGGGCTGATGAGGGGGGAGGTAATCAAGACTTGTGAACAATTGTAGAGCTGGCTAAAAATAGACAGCATAGAACAGAGTGAAATGTCGATGTTCTGCTGAAGTCGTATGTTCCACTCAGAACTTACAGAGGTAATAATATTAATAATGACATATTTCGGCACTTCCTTCGTGTACAGCTTTATAGCAAGAAATAATTGGTATGTTTAAGTTTTCATTTTGTCTAAAATTTCCCCAACTGATCTTAATTCAGTAACTTCTTCAACGTATTACTTTACAGCTTACCAGTAACAATTCGGTAGTCTTCGATTCTACAACTAATAAACATTATAATCATGATAAATACACTGACAATCATATTGCTGATGACAGCAGTGATAATAATGATGACGATTATCATATGGATACCAAGTCAAGTACAACTCATCGTAATACTACTATTAATGGAAAGCATGCTAATCCTCAACAAACGACAAATCACTCACAACAACAAGAACAACAGCAACAACAACAAGAGAATTCTAATCGAACTGTTAATCCCACTTCTAATTCACAATTCAATAATCATATAAAATCTGACTTTATGAATTTATCATCAACAAAACGTTATTCATCGAAAACACAATTTTCAGAATTTGGTTCACAAAGTCTACCAGCCTCAGGTCGTTTATCGCCTACTCTAAAAAGTGTAAGTCTCTCTCTCTGTTAACCGTTTATGTGAGTTTGTTCGAGTATTTTGTTTTTCAGACGATTTTGTATTTCAATGGTCTTTCTTGGCCGAACATTCTGATGTTAGTGTATATGAAATCTTTAGGATGCCTGGATGCCATCGTTAGTTCATTAAGTGTCAACGGTGGTGTAGAGATCTTTTATTCTAATATAAGAACAAAAAGTTCAGCGAAGTCTCTTTTCGTCCGAGAATTCATTCACTTAGTTGTACAATCGCATTTACATATATATATAATTTAGACAAAGCAATAAGAAGACGTAATTTGTCTGAATCGTGTATTGTATTTGCGCAACACATTTCGAACAATCTGATCACACACGGACTTGTCATAGGAATATATATGAAATTAATAAAGAGTTAAGAGGTGAGAAAATAAATTCAGGTCAGATTTACTTTGTAACCAGAAGGTCCTGGGTTCGGACCCCGGTGGGTGCGTACTGATAAAGAGTCCCAAACTGGAACGAAACAGCTGTCGAGTACTCCCAGGTTTTCCAATGGTTCTCCAACGGATGTCAGCTCATGATGGAATACTGTAACAAATCAATCAAATCCCCACAAACCAACACTTGAAAATTACGTCTTCTTATTGCTTTGTCTAAATTCATAAAGGGAACTAATCGTTTTAAATATAATTATTTTGTGTGTGTGTGTGTACATTAGGATTATCAAATCAAAATTAGTTAGGGTTACTGTTTACGTCATCAAAATGTTCCAAAAATGTTATGAATAATCAAATGGTAACTAGGAGGGGGGCTGTGAGGCTTGGCAAGTATTGCACAATTTGAAATAGGATGTAATGGAGATATGCGTCCAAAATAAATTATGCAATAACTCCATTATGGATAAAATATTTATTTTGATAAAATCACCCAGTGCTATACATTAATATTTACTGCTAACGTTTCCAGCAAAAATTATTACTCATAATCATATCAAGGCACTCGCACAATATGATTATGAGCAATAATTTGTGCTCGAAACGTCATCAGTGAGTATCGCTGTTTAACACTATGTGATAAATAAATAATAATAAATAAATAATGAAATTTTTATCCATAATGGAGTCATACTCTACCACAGTGCCCAAGGTTTATCATTATATCAAATTGTGTAATAGGTAGAAAGAGTAAATAAAGGGTTGATTAAGAAAAAGATGTTACTAAAATGTCATACAAAAATTCAAAGAAAAGCATTATTAACAAAGTAGTAGAACTTGGAATTTTACCCAAGGTAGAAGGAGGGGTTGGAGAAGTTTCTTCTGTGTACATAAATCCGGGTTTTCTATCCGGATCGCTAAGGCCTCGGTAATGTAAAGTATAAGGAAGCTTATCGTTTTCGGGAGGCTTGTTTTGACTTTGTAGATGACTTTGAATGAATTCTGCTTACATATTGAGTGACTCTAACAAATAAATGCAGATTTCCAGCTGAGAATGTATGAAGACTTCAGTTTCAGCTATTGCCGTCTCTAGAAGACAGTTAGTGTCTTATGCTGGCAGAAAGTAATTATGAAGTAGTGCATCCTGTTCTTTGGTATCATTGTGATACTCCGGTTTCAGTAGTCTAGACATGTGTTACGAAAGTTATCTAATCGACTTCCATAGTAAACCTTTTCTACTAACGATAAGGCTGGTTATGAGCTGAGTCAAACCAGCCACACCACTGATAAGCTGATGAGCGAAGCTGCCATCGGATCCTGTGATCACTTCGATCTGGCTAGCAGGTACTACTGGTAGATGTAAGTGGTACACAACTACTCATATCAATTAGTCAGTAATATGTAGCCTTATGCAGTTAAGACTGGTTGTCAGCTGATGACACAATATCGTAGACTGATAGATAGGCAGGTGTCTTAGGTCATCCTTTATTGAGGAATCACAGCTCCTTTATATTTTTGTTTCATTCTGTTGGTTCTCCAACTGTTCCTTCTTTTTTTATGTTGTGATTCAATCTTGTATGACGCATTACTTTTCGCTTATATTATGCCACGCTGGAGTTGTATTTTTTGCTCGAATATTGTGCACATACGATAAAACACACTGAGGAATTTGCACTCTGTGTGAACGTATAATTCAGAAAAAAGATATTATGATTATTAAGACCAAATCATATTACTTTTACTAGAAGTAAAAATCTTCCGATTAATATCCACATTATAAGTACTGTTTTCACTCACTATTTGCTTCCTCTTCTTTAGTCTTCTTGGTCGTTTTGAATGATAAATTTTACTGACTGTATGATTAAGTTTCAACATAGAACTTCGCAAAGAAGTGCAGCTGTTCTGGTTGTCACACTCTATGTAATACACAAGATAGAGAATAGAGAGAACAATTCGAAAGATCTGTAATGAACAAAAATGTACAGGAAAAAGAATGATTACAAGGTAAAACATGAGGAATTAGTTTATCTATGAGATTACATCCCCACGATTGTCAACGGTTTTGAGCTATATCATTGTGTGAGGTGTGCTAAGATAAGATTTATCAGTGGTATATTTATATATGTATATATATATATATATGTACCACTGATATATATATATATATATATATATGTAAAGAAGAAAAGACCGAGGAGGCTGGAAGGAATGATTATTTGGTGAAACGTATTGTACATAGCTAAATTTGGTATCCCATATTTTCAAACCGCCATTTGCACATCATTTACCACATCCTTGACGAATTGGTCGAATATCGTCACATTCGATAGCTTCTTGGATTCTGCATCATATGGCAACATTCTTCTCATAGTTCTCTTCTTTGATTGCTCTTTCCAGTGTGCAAAACATATTGTTACTTTTCTAAATTCGCTTTTTGATATACTACTTATATCGGATTATAAGTAGCAGTCACCATATATATGTATATGTAAAGAGAGATGTTCATCGGCATAAAAACATCAAACAGCAGGAAGATAGATTTGATGCCAGAGAAAGCAAATGATACAGCGTTGTGGATATACATGGGAGACGTGAAAGAAACACAAAGAAACACAATATGAAGGCAAGAAAAAGCACCACACAGAAGGTCTGTGCAAATGGCGTGTTGAAGATAAGGTGTACCTAATCTGACTATATTCTGATAACAAATAGCAAATAAACATTCTTTTACCAGTTCTTTTTGTCTTCTACTGTTGCGGTTGAATAATCTCAAGTCATTGGTTCTTATCATCCTGAAGATCACAAATGGGCACTCTACACTTCCCTACATAGTCCAAAACAACATACACAGACTTGATGGATTGATGCCATGTTTTGATTCGACCAACCCTAGCACTTTTCCAACCCAATCCTATGTTGTGTAACATTGCTTGTCGAAGAAGGTGATGGATCAGCATGCGTAATAATTGGCACTGGAACCGTAAAATGTTTGATTATTAGTCACAAGCTCAATTGCTTTGTCCAACATCCGGACTAGTCACCAACATATCCTTTGAAGCCTTCCTTGAAGTAATGTCACTTGACATTGTATTTCTTTTTTCACTGTACATTTTTGTGTGCTCAATAAATTTGGCGAATTGAACTACAGTCTTGTATGCAGCAGAGATGCTGCATCTTCTGTCTCCCCTCCATTGTCCTTCTATCCGTTTCTCTTCCACTGTATATCTTTTTTTAGTGCCACACATCCTTCGATCATCGTTTTGTATTTATTAGGTTTGGTTTTTTTTAAATTTAATTCAATTTGGATTTTCCCGTTGATCAGTTGGACCGTAGTATTCGGCATCTCTTGACGTATCGGCTCTTTATGTGGGTGCTTTTACGATGTCAGAGGATTTAACTTGAAGTAATTCGGTGGATAGTGGTTAGCACTGCAATATAGAGCGCGCATTTCGCCCTAATCTGAACTCGTCACCTGGATGTACCCTCATTCTCCTATGATCAATGGTGCTCCCATTGGATTATACTGCTAGTCGCCATCCACCAAATTACATCAAGTCAAATCCTTAGGCATCGTAGGAGCGTCTGCACGGACGGGCGAAATGTCGGGAGAGACCGGTTCAATCAACTAACGGCAGAATCCAAATTGAATTAAAATAATAACTAACATCCGCCCCTGTTGATCTAGTGAATAACACTATGGCGTTTAAAACTATGGGTAATAAGTTAGATCCTCGGTGAGGACACTATCATTCACTGGGTAATGCAGATACGTAAGGGTGATGAGGCCCAAACAGGATGAAATGCGCTTCGTGGATTCCACTGCTAATCATCATCCATCAAATTACTTCAGTTTTGAATTGTTTTTAGATAAAAACAACACGGTACGTAGGCTGGTTTGTACTTAGGTGTTTTAATCCTGATTCAGACCTCTTTGTATCACTCACTAAAGCCTAAATGCTTGATTCTTTCCTCTTTTAAATTTTACAGATATCAGACCAGTCGACATTTGAACAAAGCAGACTATTTCCTCTACGGTCTTCCCTTATTATGGCTAAATCTACTTCAAATAGTGATGAACCAAGTTCATTTACTACACCACGTCGAAGACCACGTTTAGCACCAATTCGTCATCCATCTAGTGGAAATCAATCAGATCATTCTACACCTTGGACAGCACAGGATCAATCCGTTCAAAATTCCAATTTAAGTAAGTTTACAGTTCTCATAGTTAAACGTGTTATTGAATTGGTAACTAGTATTACTTCTAGTATCTTTCAGTGTTTTCATATTTCACTTTACCAAACAGTACTGAGCTGTTCTCTCTACAGTCTATAAGTTGAGTAGGACTATTTAAATACTGAGTGAGATTAAAAACAACATCTCGCCCTTTTTGTGTTGTATAAGAATATGAGGGTTAGTTTGCAGCACTTTTTGAACTCTGAATAATTTTTTTGTTATCAGTTTCAAGTAGTATAATCTTCTGTAATATTCCGCACATCTTTCCTTCTGTTATTCAACGCTGCAGTTACTTGATGTTGCATGGTTGGAGGCAATCGGTAGGAAGCTTTGGACCTAGGTTTCGTGCTAGTTGGCACTCGTCGCAAGGCGTATCTGCAACCTTGAAGAAAATCATATCCCTTCTGAGATTGGAATCTGCGTCACCCAGTGCTGCAGCCAGAGACGTTACCACTGAGCTAATTGGGCTCGCGATTGGCCTCCTATAGGACTGTGTTTGATAGTTTCCTTGGACACTAATAACTGGTGTGATGTGACTAGTCTGAATTCTACCAGTCAGATTTGCAATGATTAATGAAGATAACCAACCAAGAACAGCAACCAGCACCAATCACTGTCAACGGGAGAAACTTTAAAGGGGTTACTTCATTCACTCACCTAGGAAGGCGGAACGGATCAAGATGTAAAAGCCAGAATCCAAAAAGCCGAGGTACACCTTCACCACTCTGAAATCAGCACTCAGTACAAAGAACAAGATTCGGACTTTCAACACAAATGTTAAACCTGTCAGTTCTTCTGCATGAGTCAGGGACTTGGCGTGTCACGAAAAGCATTTCCAACAGACCACTGCAGACTTTTATCAACAGTTGCCTTCGCTCCGTATTGCAGATAAGATGTCTGACCAGAAAGAATTAGCAACAAGAAACTCTGGGAACGAACCAATATGGAACCTATCGTTTAACAAATATGCGGAAGAAGATGGAGATGGATTGGGCACACGCTGAGGAGACTGTCGAATGACATTGCGCTCCAGGCCATCGCTGAAGTGGAACTTGAGTGGGAAACGGTGAATTAGGCAGGTGTCCGAGGGTGATATGGAAGAGGTCATACGAGGAGGAGATTAGAGACTAAGAGCAATCGTGAGATCAGCTAAAGAGGACTGCAGAGAATAGGAAAAAGTGAAGATGTGTTTTTGAAACCCTATGCTCCACTCGGGATCCAAGGGAGTAATAATTAAATCATCGAAACAATAAGAGATGCAGTGAAGATTATGTATTTTGATGGATGAAGAAATTTAGGTAGCCGAATGATTTAAGCAGGCCATCGTAGTGCCGAAATAGCCAAGTTTGAAATCCATCTAAAATAGTAAACACATTGTTTGATAGTTGAACAATTTTAGGGAATATTCTGTGCATAATTTCTAAACACGTCTCCTTCTGTTTTTCTTACAATTCGTGAAGGGTGTGAATAGTTTTCTGTCATCTTAGCTGGGGTAGTCTACTATTAAAACCTGCGTATGCGTGTGTATGTGTATTTGAGTAGAAAACTGTTACCTCCCTAATCTTTGTTTTCGGTTCCTATTTCTCCATTACAGATTATTAATATTATTATTATTTGTCTTAAGGCAACCCTGTTGTTCATTGGTAGTAAAGTAATTAGTGGAAAGAAGAAAAAAACTGTTTCTGCCTTAGAAACTAGTTAGTATCCAATTGAAATTGTTTACCATGTGTATTGATTTGATTAAGATGTAAATAAAATGTTTACTATTGCTTTCTGTATATATACATATATATATGTATTCATCATTGGTGAGTTCTAATCTATTCTTGTGAAGCAAAATAAACATTTAGCCTATTCTGTGTCTTAGAATGTTTATTGTTCCTTTTGTTTATGAGGGATCACTAACATGGCATAGGTCATTTACATGTCCCTAACTAACCTTCATTGTATTTGTCCATTCTTAATATCCTATATCACTATATGAAGTGAGGTGTCTCTGTATAATCTCAAAACACCGTACACATAACAGTAATCATCCTTTATTCGAATTCTCCGATAAGTAAGTCTCTTCAGTGCATTCTGTTTATGACACGTTGATAGATAGCGTTAGCCTTAGGTAGTGAGTGAGCTAGATGTGTATCAAATCTTTGATTATTGTTTTTATAATTTTTTTTTGTTTACCTTACAGTTTCTACATATCCTTCATCACTTCTACCGACTAGAGCTACATTGGGTCGTCAAAGTGGTCGGTCACGTCCAACACTTAGTCAGGTCTTTAATACTACTGCTACCACAGAGGATTATTCAGAACGGAATCGTTTCGTCCATAATACTATTACTCCAAACAGTGTATTGACTACTGATTTCAACTGTCATTCATCTTCACGTATCTCGCCTAATAGAAATGTAACTACGCACAATCGAAATATCAAGTCAGATAGAACTGCTTCATATAATAAATTGGATTATTGTACTACAACTCGAACACATACTGACTCTGATTCTTTTCATTATTATTATAATAATGATGGTGATGATGACTTTGATGATAATGATGTTGAAGAAGAGATTTACGATGAAGATTATGAATCTGATGAAGAGTATACAGATACTGGTGGTGCTGATGATGGTGGTGGTGGTGATGAGACTACTAGAACAATAGACAACGGAAAGTTTTCACAGAGAAATCGATCAACTAAGCCTAGTTCATTGCCTGCTAGTGCATTACCATTAAAACTGGATAATAATGATACAGTTTTATCTAATACAACATCAAGTTGTGAAATGCCTGAGGTAAGCATTTATATTAATATGCATAAAAATGTGCTTAATATCTCCTCTAACTTGAGATTTTATTTTCCCTGGTAATTTTAACAAAATATTAGTTCTGAGACACCTAATAGTATTATGATTGATAATTCGCCTTCTGAATGGAACATCAGGTTCAGTGAGACATCTCCTCCGCTGCCCTCATTTCTCTGCCATCTCTGACTGTGCCACCACCTACAAGCCTTATTTTCCTCCTGATGTTATCTTATCCATGCCACACCTGGGGGGGGGGAATATAAAATTCAGACTCATAATTCAGCTGTCCAGCAGAGCGCTGAGTTGATTCCTCAGACTCCGGAGTTAAGCAGAATCATTTGCATCGATAGAGCTATGGGAAAAAAAGAAAGTTATTAAGGACTGACTGATTATGTTGAATTTCATCTTCAGGTCGTGAAATATATAACAGCTTTTTTTTCAAGTATTTGCTTACTAAGGATTCCGTTTGATTCGTTGAAGGATTTCATCATGCGCTGACATCAGTTAGAGAATCCTGGTGGGTGCGTACTGATGAAGAATCCCAGACGAGGACAAAACAGCTGTCCAGTACTCCAGTGGTTCTCTAACTGTTGTCAGCTCATGATGAAATCCTCCAACTAAGATAACAGATGTCACAAACTGACTACTATCCAATTTGGGTGGTATCCAATTTCTCAGATCAGTAAATCAATAATACATAGCTTCATACATTGATACTCACTTTATTGATTGCCATTCATGGTGTCAAGCAGATCATATATTGTGATCTGTATAATTTTGGTTTCCGAAGGAAGATGTGGTGAAATTTCACCTCATCACGCTGTGTGAATTGCACTTAGTGAATGTGATTCAATGTTTTGCCATTTCGTCCAGATAGCTAGCCAGAATTTTGGTGGTTTGAAGTACTTTGGCTCTCTTAGCTTGAGGGTCAAAGCGGGCTCCCTGACCAGGGACAGAGCTATACCGCGTTAAGTCACTTCGCTGTGATTAGTAAGCTCTACTATTTGATATGAGTCGTACCCATCTACTCTTACCAATCAATGAATCAGCGGTGTATAACATAATGCTTTTATATCCTCGAAGTTATCCAATGGTGAACGAGATATAAATGGAACTCCTTGATTGAAACTTGAAAAGTTTGACCAAAGAGCTGCATTTTCCATCGGGCTTTTTACGACTAGCAAAATGCTCGTTTAAGGGGTTATGTATTTTTTTGTTTTGTTCAATTAGCTATTTAATTAATATGGAAACGCTTTCCAGCATTTAAATTATTTTGAGCTCATCTTCGAATTCTGTAGGGGGCCTAACAATGAACTCGCTAATGGTACAAAATAGCAGAATTAAAATCCGAGTTAGTGGAAAAAATATTGAGTCAGTATATAATAAAAATACAGATAAGGGGTTATAAAAGTCAATGGTGGTTACTTGAAAATAAAGTTATAGTCCACTGCTACAAATCAATAATCTGATCCACGGGTTCGCTTCACCTCTGACAGAAGTTGCGTACCGATTGTTGAATAGTCTTCGGATGAGGATGAGATGTTCCTGCTAATTTCAAACAGTACAACAGGGGTATTAGTGAAGCACAAAGATAGTATGAATCAATGAGTAGACGAAGTGATGGACAGCACGATTATATTTTCATTTGAACGCTAAAGTTATTATTATTTGATAAAGAAGTCGACTAAACAAAAGTGATGTACAATATGTCTATTTTTGGCATTTAGCAAAAAATGTACAAATTTATCGTTTTTTTAATCCTTTCACGTTCCCAGTGGAAAATAGGGCTTCAAGCTAGAGGCTTGAAGTTTCTGTAGCAGTGGTGTTTATTTTTACGAGATGGGTTTGCCAGTTTCATGCCCAACCTTACCTCTTTACCAGTCCTATTGTTGGCTTAGCGAGGTTTGGGAGTGCGTTGGCGGCCAAGGATCGAACCCCGATCCACCTGCGTGGTTGGCGAGAATTCTACCGCTGTGCCACCGACGCACAAATTATTGTTTACGACTCCACAATTCCACTTATTATTTTTTGATCGCTAAGTAGTAAAAGAAGCTAGTTGTACTGCACACAACCATCTGTATTTATAAAAAAAGTACTTACTCATCTGTAAAAGGTAGGTGTGTTTTTACTCTGTTGAACTGGACCTAATTTTCAACAAAAAGAACTTTACACTAGATTGCAATAAAGAAGGATTTTGAATCTGACGTTTTGAGAATTGCAGTCAGGTACTCTACACCTTTTTATGCAGCTCGAATCAACACTCAAAGATTTCATGTATTGATTCCATGTTTTGGTTTGGTTTGACCACAGCTTTCTAGTCTGCCATAAAGCATCATAACTTAGTTAATATAGACCAAGTTATTTACCGCTCACTTGGCGCATTAATTTTGCATATATTTTCAGAGAATGTTCTAGTTTAAGCATTTCTAATCTTTGTGCCCATTTGAGCATATGTATCAGTAGATTAGTGTAAATGTAGAACTTGGGCACTGGGGTAGAATATAATTCCATATTAGATGTCACATACTGATGCAGTATTTTCATTGCTAATAAGCAATAAAAATGACGAAAATAACAGAATTCAATGCCTCTGTAGTACTACCATATAAAGAAGGAAAGTCAGAGGCCTTACGTAGGATTCTCAATGAAGCTGGAATTCGGGTGGCATTTAAACCAACCAATTCTCTCAGAGACAAACTTTGTCGGCTTAATGACCTCAATAAATCCAATTAAGAAGAGTAGTATAAGTTACCAAATACCATGTAATGACTGTAAGGTCAGTTACTTAGGTGGACCGGGGTCAATTAGATTATCGAAACATAAAAATTTATCTGGAGTTAGAATAATTGACCTTACTAAGTTAAATAACCTACAAAACGCTTGGCCACTGTAATGCATTGCACTCTTTTGCACGTTATCACACAATAGGATGGGATAGGGTGAAAGTATTCAAAAGTAATATTGTTAGGCGGAGAGACAAAGGTTAATCAGAGGATTTTTGTTTATCAATTCAACACCGCACACGTGCAATCAAAATGACGCAGTGCCTACACTGGAGACATGGAAAGTGGCAGCAAACAACAAAGGAAAGTTGGAGAGACACAAAAAGAGAATATATACATATATATATATATATAAGACAAACTTTTAGTACTGCAGCGCTGTATGCTGTTGAAAATAAACTTATCTAATATGGTATTATATCAGTAGATATTATGTAAAGGTATATTTCTAATAAGTTTGAATTCAGTAGTATAGTGCTATTCTGTCGAAAATACTATCTAATCTTTATTCTCTTTAACAGAAAATGGTTAAAATAACATTTATTGACAACGGAGGTATATGTGTTGCTTCCTTATTACTTTCTTTTCTGTAATAAAAAAAATTTGTCCTTTAAAAGTTATTTTTGTGCTTTGAATAGGTAGTTCACCCTTATTTTAATGTGTAAAAGCTGCTCAACATTTTTTATATGCATCCGTAGTGTAAAATAACATTTATAAGGAAACCGAAGGTGTGATAGTTTTTCCTTCAGAGGTTTTCCCGCTATTTATCCACATGACTATCAACCTAAACTACTAGTCAACCTTATCACTTCGCCCACACTGTCAGAATAGACAAAAAGACGGAGTTTTCTTTGAATTTCCCCTTCTTTTTTGTCAGATGCATCGGTTTCACATGAATTTTGTCAGTAGCCTTTATATAATGTATGAATGTATATATGTATATCTTTGTATTGTCAATTCTATGACACAAATCTATACAGACTTTACTTTCCAGTTGTCTGTTTTGAAGAATTTTTTTAATTTCAAATTTCACTTATATATACAACAAGCATATGGATAGGCAGGCACAAAATGACTGAAAATAATAATGGAAGTCGATTCAGATTTGGGCGAAAGGTATATATTGATAATAATAATAATACTAACCAATATATTCCAAACAATAATAACTATTCAAATAAGAGGAGAACAAGATCATGTCATCATTTATTTCATTGGTGTCTCATCAGCTGCGTACAGCCTAAAGAAATTATTGACTTCATGTGAAAAAATATTTTAACATGCTTGTAAATGTTACATGATGTTGTTACTTGATGATAGGAGACTCCAAACTTAATGAACAGTGCTCAGAAATTACACTTGTACTTAGCTTATACCCAGAATGTTTAACTTCAAACAGAAAACAAATGCTTGTTGATAGTGGCAAAGGAATTGCATAAGATGGTTAAGATGGTGAGTAGCTGATGAGTTGAGTAACAATGTTACAAGAGACTAGCAAAGTCACACTATGTCAAGGGAGGGCGAACAGTTTAAAGCCGGAGATTACGTAATCAAATGGAAGAAAGCGAGTAAAGATATCCAGTTACTAGGGCTAAGAAAGACCTATAATTGCTTCTTTCTGAAAACACAAATCAGGTTTTAGGTGTTCGATAGTGACTGCTTCAGCAAACTTGAGTAAGACTGAACTATTTTGTCTATTGATAAATTCAGGGGATTTCATGACGTCCACCTTATGACCAGTATTGATGAAATATCTGAATATGGGATTATTGAAAGCGTTTGTTTCCTTGTAAGATGTGGGTGTTTTAGTACTTGTTCAGAAAATCGGAGGTATACCCTTCTTTCCTTTCTCCCAATATAACTGCTACCTCAGACACATGTAAATTTGTGTGTTAATAATTTTTTTAGGCTGTCCTCAGCTGATGAGGGAGAACCTAACGAAATAAACAATGGTACCATCGTATTCTGCACAAATTGTTGTTCTCGCTCAAGTCACATTCATAAAGGTGAATAGGTGTATACAATAAGAATTACGCAGAATGGCATTTTCAGCAGTGTAAATGTTGCGACAGTTTATTTCCTTCTACAAATAAAGAAAGAAATAATATAGTAAATATAATAAAACTACAAAAACAGAAGTTAACAGGAGGATGATCTGTGTATAATAATAATGTTGGTACCGAGTTCTTGATTATTTACAAATTGTAAAGTAGCTTAATAAGCACTTTTCTGACTTTTTTCTCTTCAAACAAAGCCTGTGGCATACGACAATGAATTTTTAGGGAATTTCTTCTTGTTTTACCAGAAAAGATAAGAGGAGAAAGTTACGAATAAACAGGGTATTCAGTATCTGACAGGACGACTGTATCCAATTGTATACAAAGAATTAAAGTGTCTGTCAACAACAGTGTCAGTTAGTTGGCTCATAAGCACACCACCAACCCTACTTAAAGCCTTTAAATTAATATAACATAGTCCTTTTTGAAAAGCCTCAGGAAAAAATAAGAGGGAACAATAAAGAGGAATGGGTAGAATACAATAATCAATAAATTGTAAGAGCAGAGGTTGCCTTTAAATTACCTTTAACTCGAACAAACTTCACCTAAGTTTTTTCTGTTGCAACTTTGATGTATGCTTCTGTTTCTACTTGTATGGTTGAGAATGACTATTCTTCATAGTCTGAAGTGCTTACTAAAACTGCAAAATTTTGAAATACTGTTCAAACGTATTGTATAACTTTTTGATAGTGTGTTTAAAAGTGAATTTTTGATGGCTGGTTGAATTATATTTTGAGTAAGGCGCGCTGATGAAGTCATCGTACCATCCGTTGATGTTCGTAAGGATTTCCTCTTTTGCCTAAAGTATTGCCAAGTAAGACTATTCTCCTGAAAAGCTGTTTCACTTAGCTTTTATTGTAATTAGATTACGAAGTGCCATTCAGTCCTCGCAATATGAGTTACGTATATATATATATATATATATATATATATATATATATATATATATATATATATAAAAGTATAATCAAAAATTCTCTTTTATGTATTTGTGGGCGTGGCTGTATTTAGCCGTTTATTTTATTACCTTCAGTACTATTATTGTTATTTAAATTTTTATAGAATATCGTCTTCATTTATTTATTGCCTTCATTAGCTGTTTCACATGTTTTTCTCTCCAAGATGTCGTTTTGTGCCTCTCATTCCCTTCAAGCATGTGTGCGTTGTTTTATCAACTTATTTATACTCACACCTAAGTGCTTTTCAATAAATACACATATATCACCTTAGAATAATTGGTGGATGCTTGTCAGGAACCTACATCGATCAGGGATGTAACTGACTATGGGATGAATTTGCCTGAAGTTTTAGTGAGAAGTCATAACCAGCAGGTTCAACCAAGATGGATGTGAAGATCTACACTTGTCGATGATACTGGTTGGCGGTCGTTCTATATGTTGTGAACTGGCAGAAATTAGAATTGATGGGTCATCAGATTCCGTTCCATTGGCTGAATGATCACCTAGTAATGTGAATGTCTTGGATTCGATTCCTGGTAGGGTGGTAGTTGTGGGTTATTGTAGAGTCCGAGACAAGGAGTAAAGAGGTATCGAGTACTCTAACTGAATGTCAGTTCGTGATCAGTCTTGAAGTTAATAAAACCACTTCAAACCAACACTTGAAGATTAGAGAACTATTAAATATCAAGGACCACTCCCCATAGTTGCCCCATGGTATTAGTGGTCAGTGGCTGTAAGAACAGATACCTTACAACCGAAAAATTGTTTGGAAAATACCTTCCGAATTATTTAATCGCAATGTCTATACTTATTTGGATGTTTCAACTAACTTTGTAGTTATTGTTCGTTTTTCTAGACTGTATATCATCGTTCTGACATCTACATATCATACTGTTGACTTCGTCCTTATTATTTGTCTTTGTCCCTGTTTGATCTGTCTTTGTGGTTGTGTGACACAATGATCATGTGTTGTTTTACAAGACGATTTCTTTGCGTCAATGAAGGTCATTCCTACTTTAGACTGTCTGCGGGAAGTATTGGTATATGATTCTTGTGGACAAAGTTTTTGATCCCACGATGTTTGGAATATTCTACTTGACACTAAATGCTTGTTTTATTCTTAGAGAATTAGATGGACTATATGGCTACCTGATGGCACTGTTGAAGTAATTTTGAGTTTTTGATGTCAATATTTGTTGAACAGAATCACAGATTCCAGCAACAAATAATCATCTTTTTGCTGTCTTTGGAGCGTTTGTGATTGTGCGTCTCTCAAAGAAGTTTTGAACTGCTATAAGGTAGAACGCGAAGATCGGTTTCCTGCTTTCACAACACAACAGGTCGGTTCCAGTAGCTACATACTCATCAAGGGTGTTGGGTCCCACTTTTTTACCTGATGAGATTTAGGTTTTGGATAAAGTCTTTGATGAGCTCCGCCGTAAAGTCTCCCAGTGATTCTTGGTTCTCTTACTTATACGAGGCTAATGCCTGGATATTTTGAGATTCATATTGTGTTACTGTTTTCCTTTTCATTTCAATGTGCTTTACTGAATACAACCTCCAGATGCTTAATTTGTTGTTTGCTGAATAGCTTTTATAGTGTTATTGTCTTTCATTCAGTTACCTAAATAAGTCTAGTGTATTTAGTAAAGCAATAACATTGTGATAAGTCCATTGTTTTTATACTTTTTTCCTTTTTCCCTTAAGAATATTCCTTGAATGCATGATCTGTGTTTTATTTTAAGCATTAGCAGTTTTCCTTCATTATGAAATATAGAATAAGATAAAGATTGCTTGAATGATAATTTATTTGTCCACGTTTTCAAGTAATGCCTTGCTTGCCAATTAACGGTGGACTCTGAACTTACAAAAGCCGTTAAGAACTCCTGACAGCAAGAGCGCAGATATATGGAAAAGATCCCTGACTTCGTCTTCTGCCTTAGTTGTATGTTTCGTGCATATCACGGCTCATCAACCCTATGCTTTTACAATCTAAACGAATTTGATACTTTCTCAACTAATCAACACTGAATCACCAAGCCATAAAACCTTTTAAAGGCAATGCATTACTTCCTGTCATGAGATTAACTTACGTCTTTGTATGCGGCTCTATCATCACGAATTCTCGCTCTCAGAGCCTCTTGTTAGTTGCCTTCAGTCACACCAATTTCGAAATTCATTAGACTGACAAATAACTTAATTTACTCTTTATATTCCTAACTAGACTGATGCTGTTATGTTAGTAGTGGAGATAAATTTATAAAATTATAAAATATATTATGTTGACAATTTCACACAAGTCTATGTATTTGCATAATGGTGTTCTAACATTTTCACTTAGCACTTATTTTAATATCATATTTCTTCTTCTCGTTGAATTTTTTCCAGGTATCAAGTATCCGCAGTGCTGCATCACATCGACGTGCAATGCGATTATTTGAAGAAGCTGAAAAACGTAGACAAAGTGAAATTTCTAACAATGCACAGCCTATTACTAATTCTACAACACCTATATCATCCTTAAAGGTGACAAAGGTATCTCCTACAAGTTTGTCGAATACTTGTATACATACGTCTAGTACAGATATAAATCATGCGAATTCAAATCTATCTGGTCCTGTACTAACACCAGCTGTTGTTCCTGCTATGCCATTACAACGTTTAATTCCTGGAAAAGCTTCAGCTAAAAGGTTTGTATCTATTAAGCAATATGTGACATTTGATTAAATAATCATGAATGTTAGTATTTAGCAATATCTCTGATTACTTAATGCAACTCAACTAAATGTTCCAGAAACCTTTATGTCGTAGGCAGTAAGGTACACTGCGTATGAACGCTTATAGTAGTAGTCATTTTCCCAGGTCACTGTAGGGGCAATGGGTTTTTAATCTGGGACATATGAGTTGGTAGTCGACTACTTAAAGTAATAGTTGATACGACACATCTTAATAACGCACCGAAGATTGCTCTTATTCGTATTCATTTCACTCTATTAGGCTATTGAAGGCAATCAGCAGGAAGCTTTGCATTTATTTGGCACTTATCAGCAAGGCGCATCTGCAACCTTAAAGGAACTGAGAATAAAATTCACGTTGTCTCATGTTTTGGTCAGAGATGTTACTACTGAGCATTCAGACTGGAGATTAACCAATATCAGCTTGCGTCTAACCTCCTGTAAGAATTCAACGGATAAATTTATTGATTACTAGCAGCAGATAAACCTTGCTGATGAGTGCCATCAAGCACGGAACCTAGTTGGTGGGATTAGCGCTGATTGCCTCCAAACATCATTTCACAGTACACAGTGAGTCAACTAGCTTGGGGATCACATTGTAAGCTCGACTGATAGAATTCAGTCTGCCGCAACACAGAAAATTAGCTACTCTCTAATGATCAATCGATGTGTCATTTCACACTCTCACTAACATTACTCATTCATAAGTAAAATTGCATAACTTTCTCTTACCATTATACAGTTGTTAAATGCAATCCCCTCAGGTTGTCTTGGTGACGTCTGACTTTATGAAAAGTTGTGCAAGTATATAGTGTCGCGTTAATTTCAATGATTCATACTTGTAAACTAACTGGGTTAATGATATTCAAAGCGGAATTTTTATATTGTCTGTATTCAAAAGTATTCGGGCTATTTATAAATTCATTTTCAAGTAAATAAATATAAATGTATGCATTATTATTGTTTGTTTTCGTTTAGAATAAAACATTTATATATTAAATTGACAATAAAGGTGTGAAAAGTTACAAAGAGAGAATGCATCTGTGCCCCACCGGGAACGACTTTTGAGCCATATTATCAACAATCTGAATCCAGTGGTTCTCAACATCCTGAAGACCTAAGCCAGGTAGCCCTACACCTCTTCACGTGACTGGCTCCAACTAACGGTCATAGTCTTCATAGACTGATATCAGGTTTTGGTTTGATCACCCATATCTCATTTCTGACCCAACCCTATATCAGCCAGCATTCTTTGTGGAGGAAGGCAGTTGCTCAACATGAATAGCACGTGTCGTAACCTGACTGACTGACTAACTGGTTTCAGCGTGGAACTCTGCACCGATGTGCATCAGTTCGAGTCGCCACACTTCACTTAGCACATCAAGTAAGGAAAGAAAGTAAAAAGAGATTCAAAACAAAGATAATAAGCAGAAATATGAGACCAAAGGAATAGTAATATGGAAGAACAATATAGTTTTATTGGATATTATAAGTCACAAGGAGTGGATGCATCTGCGCTGTCATCCAGAACGATTTTGAGCCATATCACCAATTGTCTCCAGCCGTAAGAAATTCATAGTGTGTCAGTTATTTTTTTCAAATTGTGTATGATAGTAATAGAATAATTTAACACCTGAAGTTAGGTCATTCTCCCCTAGACTGTAAAAATATACCTATCTCATAATCATGATTAATGGAACTAAGTTTGAACTTATGAAGCATCCCGCTACTGAAATGAATGAGGTTCATCTGGGTGTTGGTGACTTGCAGCAGAGTTTAGGACTTGATTTTAGCCATTTCCGAGACATGTTAGAGATAATCAATACTTCATTCACCGACTGAAGCTTAATTCAAGTGACTCCGATATCTAGGTAACCGGAATATATATGTACTAAATATTAAGACGTTGTCTCACATAAGTAAATGGTTCTAAATTGTTCAACAACGTGTAAGAGGAACATGTGCATCAGGGAGTACTGCTCCAACACAGTAGAACATTCAGTTGCCTATGACTCCTGTATATTCTTCTATCTGCTGTGTTAAATGGTACAATATGGTGCCCCGACCGATAGCTGCTACCTTGACGTGGTGGTCGGGCTTGAACACTGCAATGACCCAACAAGCTATAATGGCTGGAACTTATGTTCCTGCAGGTCCTACCATGCCAGAAAGGTTGTTTGGATAGCAGTTAGACTAAAAGCAGTTACCCAATCCAATCCTATGATTTCAAATAAATCACAAAATATCATGCCGGATCGGTCGGGGCCCGGATTAACAACGACCGCGCTTTCTGCTGCCGTGTCACAGGGCAGAAGTGATAAATACGCTACTGAGACACACCATATAAAAAAGAACAAACAAAAACAGGCCGTGTGTGACCGGCCTCAAGCAGTTGTCCCCTGGGCTCTGCGGTCACGCAACCAACTTCCACGGTGTGGGCAGCCGGGAAGTAACAATCGCCCTCACAATCCGAAGTGCACGCGAAACCCCTCTAATCCTCGCTCATCTTTGTCTTCATCTTCATCTCTATTATCTTGCCTTCCTTCTACTAATGCAACTCCTCTACTTGTTGGCTCTTCACTTCCCCTTCACTCTGTGTGCACTGATAACGATGGAAGCCAAAAAGCCACCACTGATGGTCTCCTAAAGCCACGCCACCAATTTTATATAGGAGCATTTAATGTTAGGACACTTTGCCAAATAGGACAACAAGCATCACTAGCCAAGACTCTGGCATCCCGAGCCATTGATGTATGTTGTGTTTCAGAAACACGCATACAAGACCCAAGTGTGGTTATTCACCTAACCCCACCTGGCCAACAGGATGAATCTGCAAAATTCACCTTGAGGGTGTCAGGAGATGCGACGGCTAGCTCACGAGGATTAGCTGGTGTTGGGATAGCTTTAAGTACTAGAGCAGAAAAGACATTACTTGACTGGATCCCGGTAGATAGCCGAATGTGTGCTGTCCGTCTGAACGGATCAGTGAAAAGGAGAAAGGACTGCACTACTCGCCGATGCCTTTTCGTAATCTCCGCCTACGCCCCCACTGACTGCAGTTCGGATGAAACGAAGGATGAATTCTACCCAAAGCTGTCTAGTTTGCTGCGAAAGGCTAGACGCTCAGATATAGTCGTTTTAGCTGGTGACTTTAATGCTTAAGTAGGGAAATTGTGTCAATCTGAGAAGAATGTTGGTGGCACATACGGAATTCCGTGCCAGCGAACCGACAACGGTGACCGTCTCCTACAGTTCTGTTCAGATAATCATTTGTATCTTGTAAGCACTAACTTCAAACACAAGGAGAGACACTGTTTGACCTGGCGACCACCATCATCAAATCAACGCTGGACACAAATAGACCACATAGCAATAAGCTATCGTTGGCGTGGGTCGGTAGGAGATTGTCGCTCCTTCTGGAACACGTGTGTAGATACCGATCACGCACTGGTCCGCGCTCGTGTGTGCTTACGACTGAACGGACGTAGGAAACAGCTGGCGGTAAACCCACCACGTCCCCAGCTCGACCAGGGAACTAAGTCCCTATTTGAGGAAGAACTAGCTAAACACATATCTGAGTTTGACAGCTGCGCTCACCCTGAAGAAGCCTGGAAGAATATTCAGTCAGCCATAGATACAGCTGTAAAAGCTGTGAATAAGGTCAATCCAAAGGTGAGTAAAAACCATTGGATTTCGACTGCCTCATCCGAACTGATAGATGCTAGAGGACTTATTCCGGCGAGCTCCGAATTCAATGAGGAGCGAAAGCTGCACAAGAGAAAACTTACGAAAAGTCTCCGCAAGGACCGTGAACAGTGGTGGTTGACAAAGGCGAAAGAGATGGAAAAAGCATCGGCGATAGGCAACACCAGACAACTATTCAGGCTTATCAGGGAAACAGGTGGTAAAAGGCAAATGATAAGCGAAACAATCTCCGAGAAAAATGGCACCATAATTAGCTCCCAGGATAGACGTCTGGAGCGCTGGAAAGAACACTATGAGGAGCAGTTTAATTGGCCCACAGCCACACTTAACCTACCGGACATCCAGCACCTCCCTGAATGGGAGATAGACACAGGTCCTCCGTCCTTAACCGAGGTTACTAAAGCTGTCACCAATCTGAAGCTAGGCAAAGCAGCGGGACCTGATTTATTGACTCCAGAGGTATTTAAGTACGGAGGCGACAGTTTACTGTCTGCGTTAACGGAGGTTCTAGGCAGCGTCTGGGAATCAGAGGAAGTCCCATCGGGTTGGTGTAAGTCACTGATCATCCCGATATACAAGAAGGGGGACAAGTCGTCTTGTGATAATCACAGAGGGATTAGCTTGACTAATATAGTATCTAAAATCCTAGGCTCAATAATACTGCGTAGATTAAGTGGTGCTCGGGAGACACAAACACGAGAAAACCAGGCAGGTTTTAGGCCAGGTAGAGGGTGTATTGATCACATCTTCACCCTTCGACAGATTCTAGAACATAGGCATTCCTACCGGCGTCCGACAATCATTATATTTCTTGACCTAAAGGCGGCATTCGATTCCGTCGACCGGGAGGTTCTCTGGCGATGCTTGGCTGTAAAGGGAATGCCAAGAAAATACATTGCACTGATTAAGGCACTCTACTCGTACTCATGCAGCCAGGTGAGGGCTTATGGCGAGTTGTCATCTGAAGTGGTGACGACTAGTGGCGTCCGTCAAGGATGCCCATTATCCCCATTCCTATTCAATTTCATCATAGATGTACTAATGGACTTAACCCTAACTCACTTCAGCGACTCAGGGATTGACTTGCTACCAGGGAAGAATCTCGTTGACTTAGAATACGCGGACGATATAGTCCTTCTAGGCGAGGACTCTGACAAAATGCAGAGTCTACTGAACACCCTGAGCAACAACCTCCGCATGTTTGGCATGCGATTCGCCCCTATAAAATGTAAGATGATGCTGCAGGATTGGACTTCATCGACCCCTAGATTAGAAATAGGAAGTGAAGTGGTAGAACACGTTGACCGCTTCACTTACTTGGGAAGTACCATCAGCCCCAACGGGTTGATCTCCGACGAAATTTCAGCACGAATACAGAGGGCTAGGTTCGCATTCGCCAGTTTTCGCCGTCTCTGGCGTAGACGCGATATCCGACTATCGACCAAAGGGCGTGTGTACTGCTCAACAGTCCGCTCCGTCCTCCTTTATGGCTGTGAGACCTGGCCATTGAGAGCAGAAGACATGAAAAGATTAGCTGTCTTCGATCATAGGTGTCTGCGTTCTATCTCCCGCGTGAAGTGGAATAATAAGGTGAGCAATATTGAGGTTAGGCGTCGAGTGCTAGGTAAGGCGGGGAAATCAATCGACGAGACTGTGAAATTGCATCGACTGAGATGGTTAGGACATGTGCTACGTATGCCTAGTCATCGCCTTCCTCGACGGGCAATGTTAGCTGATATAGGGTCAGGCTGGAAAAGAGCTAGCGGCGGTCAAACCAAAACATGGCACCAATCAATGAAATCCACAACAGTTAATCTAAGCCACGTAGGAAGATGTAGACTTCCTGGTTGGGGCCCTCGGGATGGTAAAAACCAATGGTTGGAAACAATTGGCGACATGGCTCAAAATCGTTCTCAGTGGCGCAGATGCATCCACTCCTTGTGACTTATGATTTCCAATTAAACTTTTGTTCTCCGTTATTACTATTCCTTTGTCTCACACCACTGTTTACTGTCTATATTTTGCATTTCTTCTACTTCCTTCTCTTGCTTTGCGTGCTACATGGATTGTGGCGACTTGAACTGCCGCACATATGTGCAAAGTTCTATGTCGAAAACAGACAGACAGACAGACAGACAATATGGTGAGCAATATTGAGGCCAGGCGTAAAGTTAGGTAAGGAAACTATATCGATTGGGACGGCTTAGACACACGTGTAGCGCATGACAAAGATTTTGGGGCGATCAAATCAAAACCTGGAATCAGCTCATGAATTTTTTGACTGTTGATTTTAGTCAGCCCCATAAGAAGGTGTATATTGTCTGGTCGGAGACAGGTTGTTGAGAACCGAAAGCTTGAGGCTATTGGTGATATGGCTGTAAAACCGCTCACAATGGTGCATATATATCCACTTTTTGTAATCTCCCAGATGAATTAAATCCTTATGTTTTACCATGTTACTATTGTTTCTCTCACACATTTCTGCTTATTATAGTCCCTTTGAACTTTTCTCTCCTTCCTACCTTTGTTGTGCCACAATTTAAAGATAAGATGAAAGGTGCTGATGCCTTTTGAGCTGTTTTCACATGAAAAATTTCATTGATGAAACAAATGAAATAAAAATTATGTTAGCTGAGATATGAATGAGAAGGTTGAAACACATAAAAGTAGGATTTATACAAACAAAAGTGTCGAGTATAAATATTATTCAGGCGTTAGTTTACGGAGATTGGACTGCTGTTTTTTCCTAGTTTGGTACTCTTCAGCAACACACACCCTCTGCCAGGGTTCGAACCCAGGACCTTCTGGTTACAAGGTGAGCTCGTATACCATTAAGCCATTGGCATCGGCTCCAGTGGTCTATGAATTTTAACTTCCGCCAATTCATGATATGGCGCAACCACTAGCAAATGTCATCGGCGGGTATTTGTCCTCACACCTGACCTGCTGTACCTCACTGGTCACGACTTCCCACTAGAGCCCAGGTAACTATCTACCTGAATAGGACCAGTCACTGGTGAGCATCACATTGATATTCAAGTGTTAGTTTGAGGGGATTTGATTGATTGATTTCAGGATTTCATCATGAATTGACATCGGTTAGAGGACCATTGGAATACCTGGGAGAACTGAACATCTGTTTCATCCTAGCTTGGGAGTCGTCGACAGTACGCGGCCACAGCCAGGGTTCGAACCCAGGATCTTCTGGTTACAAGGCGACATCATAGATCGATCTTAAATCTTTATTTTTTTTCAAATAAATGGGTTTTATTCCGGTTTATATTCATAGGACAATATAAGTCCACTTATTGTCTGATCAACAGGTTTTAATAAGTACTTGTTTTATTTAACCTTACTACTATTTCTACTGATAAACATATTGTATCCTATTTGTTCATATACACCTTTCAAGAGTCATTAAATGATGAGGATCTCATTCAATGCCTTGTAGAAACCTTATCTTCATTTTTATTAATTTTCAAATGTTTGTATTACTATACTGCCATTTCAATATCAGCATTCCCTTTGGTTCTCAGTGGAACATAGGGCCTCAACAGAACATCTCCATTTCCTCATGTTCTCTACAGTCCTCTTTTGCTGGCTCCATTATAGCCTATAAAGTATCATCTCCTCGATGTCACCGCTGGACACATGCCTAACTCTTAGCTTCCTATTTAAGTCCCACTCCGGGGCCTGAATAGCGCGTGATTTTGCCCAATGGTCTCCTTAGCATGTGTCCCATCTGTCTGCGTTTTCTTCGGCATAGATTTTGAGCAGTAGGTGTTTGGTTGGTTCATTGCCACAGTTCCTTGCTGCTAACCCTTCAGTATGAAACGAAGGTAGCTGCTGGTAAAATCCTGTCAGAAATGATTTCAACCATATACAAGGATTGGCTGACTTGAGGTCAGTGTTGAAAATCCATTTCTTATTCTTCATGATCAGCACTGCAGATTTTCACACTAATTTCAGATTAATGAATGTCTGTATTGCTTTTCCAATCTTGATTTTGTCCTCTTCATCCGTGATACTGCCCATAGTTAAAACGATACTGCCTGCATAAGTGAAGGAAGTGACTTCCTTCAAAATTTTCCCACTGATAGTAATTAGTGCTTGTTGTTGTTGGCTAGATAACTTCACCACCTCTGTCCCGTTTATGTCCACTTTACGTTCTTCCTGTCTTCGCTGCTTCTTCTGCCAATTAGTTGGTTTTCCCTAATGGATCTTCGAGTTAGTTGTGATATTAGACGTAAATTGTCCGCGAAGTCCAAATCTCTTACAGGCTTCTTGCTGACCCAGTGTGTTCCCACTTCCCCTATACTGCTTGAAATAATATACTTTCGCAGTACGCCTACTTTTTACTTCCTTGTTGTTGTTGTTTATGTACTTTTATTTAAAAAAATTCACCTGCATTTTGTCTTATTTTCTCAGACACAATTAGCAAGGACATTTTCTGACCTGTTTCTGTTATTCAATCGATATAGTAGGACTGTGCTAGTGTGATGATAAATGCTTACTAAAGTATCTTTCCTTCATATAGCCATCTAGACATTACCTGTCGTGGTAGTGGTGATGGTGGGGATGAGTGCAGTGAAATGATAGCTGTATGATCAGTAGTTGGATCTCGTCACAGCGTAGCCCATAGAGCTCAGGGTTGATGTATTTAGGAGTCTACTGGTCCATACATCCTACTATGTCCCAAATTCTCATTTCATCACTCACTACAAAGGGGCAAGACTATGTCATCATTGTCTCATCACTAACCTATTTACTGATTTTTTAGGCTACCAGGCTGCTGAGTTTTATTGTCGGTTGGTATTTGATAGTCCTATATCATTTATGTTTACTCACGTTATTATGTGTGTGTGTGTAGAGAGAGAGAGAGGGGGCGAGGGAATTAGGTGTTTACCTGCTTACTTCAGCAATACAATCAAGCATACAGCACCAGCATTAACCACCTTCCACTATTGTTTCTTTACATTCATACATCTTTTATTCTTACAAACATTGAATATTACTATTGTTGTTTCCTCTTGAGGTGGTAGATGAAATGACCGATTAAACTTAATTAACCTTGGGATTCGTTATTTTTTGTTGTTGTTTGTTTTGTGTTTTAATCGTACTTTAATTCCTATGGGAGTTATTCATTTCAACTATCAGAAAACCTTGTTAAGTAAATATATATATTTTTTAAAAACCTACATTTTTTAAAATATTATTGTATTATTGAATACACACGTAAATCCTCTTGCCACGTTTGAACTCAGGAGTAGAAGTAAGAGTAGAGGGGGGTGGTGGGGACTACTAGTACTACTACTAGTATGTATGGCTTTCATAAGAAGGCCATGTTTTGAAGTTTCCAATTATCTTTGAGATTGTTTTTTGTTGTTATTGTTATTGTGAACAACAAGTGGTGGTTGGTTAAGTCTCTCGCGCCCTCTCTCTCTAGTTTTCTCTGTATTGTTTCAAATGCACTCTATTTTTATGATTGGTTATTTAATGAACTATCCTTTAGAGTATACTCAAATGGTAATAAGCATAAATTCAATCCCAACATTTTTGTCGCTAGAAACATTCTTTTACCACTTTTACGTTTTTACTTTATCACTCTATGTATCATTTAGACGTGGAAATATATCTATAAATGAATCAGTGGATAATGTATATAAATCAGGCGGTGGTGGTGTTGGTGGTGATATTAGTACTATTGGCGGTGAGAATATTTCACCTAAAACGCCTACAAATTATAATAAGTCAGAGATAGACAGAAAACAATCTCAGTTATTACAAGAACAACAATTGACAAAGTATTCATCATCTAATACTACTACTGCTACTACTGTATCGAGTAAATATAATCCGTATGTTGGTGCATCATTCCGTGAAAATCGTGATTATGCAGGATTAGTGATTGGACGAGCTACTGGAAGTCCTTTACCGACAACGACGACAACTACCTCAGGTGATATGCATCAACAATATCAAAGTATTGAAAGGAGACCGTTGAAAGGTAATTTATTTTTATGTAGTTGGTTTTTAAATTCATTGACTGTGTATTTTTTCATAAACGTTAAGTATTCCTTTTGTGGTTTCTGTACGTTTTGTTATAGTTAGTGCTTTTATGTGATCCTGTTCACCGAACTTGGAATTTTGTATTATTTATTATTATTCTTTTAGGTTCCAAGTGCAACATAGGACTTCAACACCACATCTCTGCAGCCCTCTTTATCTGAATTCACGATTGTCCATAAGCTTTCATCTCCTCTTGACATAATCCCTTACATATCACCTTCGGATGCTCAACTTTTCATTTCCCACTCGGGTTGCACTCGACGGTGTGACACCACTATGCCACTCAAAGATCTCTTTTCAGAGTTTGTCTGAAACATCTCCATTTTATTCTAAATACTTCCTTCACTTATCTAGGAAGTATCGTTTCAACCACAGGCAATCAGTGTGAATCGGAAAGGCAAGATACACCTTGATCAATCTGAAACCAGTTTAGAAATCTTCTGCGCTTTCCCTCAGTATAAAGAACAACGTTGTTATTTGCAACACAAGTGTGAAGTCAATCAGTTCTTCTAAACGGGTCGAAAACTTGGCTAACATGTCACGAAAAGAATTTCCAGCAGACCACTGCGGACTTTTATCATTAGCTGCCACCTTCGCTGCATGGCTGCATACTGAAGATCAAATGGCCGGCCAACCAGCCAGAAAGAATTAGTAACAAGAAACTCTGGCTGGGAAAAAACCAACATTCGAGAGCTGATTGCTCAACAAATATGTAGGAGGAAATGGTGATAGGTTGGGCACACTTCGAGGGGGCCATCGAATGACATTGCGTGCAATGTAGGCCATCACTCAAGTGGGATCCTAATGGAAAGAAGAAGAGTGAGTCGTCCGTACGAGGGTGACATGGAGGAGGTCGTATAATGGGTAGGAAATGAGAGGTCATGGGGAATCGTGGACCCAGCTAAAGAGGAGAGGAGAAAATAGAAGAGAGTGGAGATGTGTTGTTGTAGCCCTATGTTCCACTCAGAACTCAATAGGATAATAATAATAATGATAATAATAATAATACTATAATAATTGAATTGAGTGTGCACTTGACAAGTGTAAAGAGGGTGAAAAATGTACAAAAGGAACATATAAGAGTAAATTGTATCCGTTACGTCACCCTCCCCCGCCTATTTCTCAACAGTAGACTAATATACTTAGATTATCGGATTTACAGGGTCATGGTGAGGTGGATGCTCATTGAAAGCATTGGTTGAGGATTGACAAAGTTAGAATCCACGGACGCATTGAATTCTTGTCCAAATAGATGAATGATGTACGAGCTTCGTTTTTTAACCTGAATGTCTGGTGTTGAATCTCTTGTGAGGTCGTGGGTGAGCACTTGGGATGAATCTCGAAATAGTTCGAAATAGCTGTTCAATACTGCCTGGTTTTCAATGATCTCTCTAACTTAAATTGGTTCGTACGAAAATTTAACAACTGAAACTAACAAACACGACTGTACAGCCTCTGAAGATGATTTCTTCGGAAAAGGAGGTTTTCTGCTCTAAATTGTCCTGTTATTTTCTTCATGATTCTAATGGGTGTTTTCGGTCTTTTGAAACTAAAATGTACCCGAGGCGCATCTGGATTCACTACTGAATGGGAAAACATCTTCAATTGTTTTTATTGAGGTAACTGCATTTTACTCATCGAACACACGTTTCCATGTGTTTGTGTAAGTGTCAATGGTATTGCTACCTGGCTGCCTATATCTCACTAAGTGGATCAGCAGGGTTCACACATAAGGAGAGATTATGCACCACTCATATAAGAGTAGAATTTGGACTATGTAGTGGAGTGTTATTGTATCATAAGATAATATTATTTGATAAAACATAATGATACAGTGTTGTTTATCTACTGATGATATTCACGACACAATTTATCACCTATAATCAGAGAAACAGATCGTTCTCAAAACGCCTTTTGCATTTCAAGTGGAACAAAATGCTTCAGGCCTTAGCTTTGAAGAAATAATACTGGTCATGTCATCTTAACGCGGTGAGGTTTCTAGCCTCACACCCAACCTCTTCCATCTTTACCGGTTTTGCTACCAACTTAGCAAGATTGAACATTGCGTTGGCGTTGGAATGGAACCCGGACCACTTGTGTGGTTGATAGGTATTATACCATTGAACCACCATATCGTTATGTGCTTCACCAATGAGTCACGTTTACATCGTCATTGTGTGACTCAACATCTCAAAGATAGAAATGGGAGCTGTGAATGTCAGATATTTTGAATAAAATATTCCTGATTCTTTTATATGAACTAACTAGATAGCAGCATAGGTGGTGCAGAGGTAGAATTCTCGCCAGCCACTCAGGTGGTTCGGAGTTCGACCCCCGTCCGACGCACTCTCAAACCTCTCTTAGCTAATAATAAGCCCAGGAAAGAGGGAAGGTTGGGCGTGAGATTAGCAATCCCACTCCGTAAAAATGAGACCACTGCTATCGAAAATTCAAAGCTCTAGCTTGAAACCCTAAGTTCCACTGGGAATACAAAGGAATAGAATAAAAATAATAAGATAACAGCATTTCGTTTCTTGCAATTTTTTGCATGCATTCTGTCAATATATCTATCTATCATTAGAACTAAATTTAATTACACTAAAATGCCTGAATAATTCATTGGGACTTAAAACAGACTTGTGGTGTGCTTTTTTTCGTCTTCATAACTACTTGATTTCACGAATAGAAAGTTAGGAGAAATGATGTGAATGGAGTCTACACTTTACAAAATTAGAAATTTCACTTTCACGTTTCTGCGTATTTTGTAATTCTCATCAAGTTGGATGTACTTTTGAAAATCGCAACATTAGAAATGAAACTACTGTCGAAATTAGTGTCACCTTCTTCAGCCGAACATGTAGTTCTTATACCATGAAATGGATAAATTGTCATTGGGTCATTGAGTTGAACACCATGATTGTACACTGTTTGACCATTTGTCATCAGTAATGTGTAATTTGTCGTTAAGATTTGTATTTAGGTGTCATTGAGTCGCACTGCTCTTTTGTCTTACTGTTTCAATGGCAGTTAGCTCTATTTTATTATTATTATACTCTTGGGTTCCAAGTGGAACATACGGCTTCAACAAAACACCTCCACTTTTTTCTATTTTCTCCTCTCCTCTTAAACTGGGTCCACAATTGACCATAATCTCTCATCTCCTCTTCCAAATCACTCCATCTCCTTTATGTCACCCTAGCACCGACGACCCACTCATCGCTTCTCATTGGGATTCCACTCAAGCGATGGCCTATATTGCACGCAATTTCATTCGACGGCCTCCTGAAAGTATGCCCAATCTATCACCATTTCCTCCTACATATTTGTTGAGCAATCGGCTCTTGGCTGGTTTGTTCCACTGCTGAGTTTCTCGCTGCTAATTCTTTCTCGCCGGCCCGCCCGCCGGCTGTTTGATCTTCAGTATGGGGATTAAATTAAGCAATTAGCTCTGATTAAAAGGTATTAATTCGTGAATCTCCATTCATAGATTTATAAAAACTCAATAAAGCTTGTATTTCAATTAAAAGTTTTGTAACAACCAAATGTATTCGGTTACAGTCTGAATGAAAAAAAACGGTCTCTACGTTCTACTGTATTGCTGACAAAACCTCGTTGAGCCAGTTGTTATCACAACAAGTTCTAAAACCAGGGAAAAGATTATTCCTTAATATATTCTCTGTTCGATTCAACAATCATAACATCAAAACTTGAATTTACCTCAACAATGCCTTGAGGCAGCTATACTGGTAATGTAGGTTTTCTCAATGCAAAACAAGTACTGTAAGGGAAAATTAGTTAACCAAAGTTCAACTTTAAAAGGTACCTTATAATCAAGGAGAATATTCCCATCGAGGTGCGATCAAAAGTTCTGTCCATAAGGATCACATACCAAGGCTTCAGATGGACATTTCCGGGTGAGAATGACCTTCATTCACGCAAACAAGCTGATATCGTTAAACAACACATTTATCAATGTACACAAAACCACAAATAGAAGCATTACAATTAAATATTAAACAAGGACGAAGGTAAATAATAAAGGTAAAAATCAACAATGTGATATGCAAATGTCAAATTAATGATACACAGTCTAGGTGAAACATGTATAATAATTACAAAGTTAGTTGAAACATTTAAATAAGTATAAATATTCTAAATGGAATGTCCAGGAGGGATTTTCCAAACACTTTGTCTTTTACAAGACTTTTCGGTGATTTTATTTTCTTTGACTGTAGAATCGCATTTATATGCAATTTCTTTCCACAAAAGAGGATGTTAACGCAAGAGATGAATTGTCATGAGTATAACTGTTAATATTAATCGATATATGAGACGTTTAATAAGTATGATGGAGGTACATAGTGAGATAAATTACGTAAGGAATTCGAAAGAATGGCTAAGTTAGAAACAACTAAATATTAGTATGAATGGTTTCTCTTTTTTTGTGTCGAGTTCCAGTTCCTCAAACTGGATCGTCACTGTTTCAAAAATGAAATGAAGCGACTGCGTACTGTCTTGGATAGATCGCAACTTGAATTGGGTCGTCTTGACTCTATCTCACCTGTATTTTAATTTTACAAAGGTTGCATTCAGTTGTCTGGTTTCAAAATTAATTTTGAAAACATTTACTACCATACTTGCTTCTTGAACTTCTTTGAGAAAGGTAGGTAGAGTTTCTGGTTTACCGTTGGCTAGTGAATTGGATGAAGTTTAGGAGTGCGTCGGCCTGAAATCGAACCGGGAACACAAACGTGGCTGGCGACACCTCTTCCATTGAGCCACTAACGCACTGCGTGAAGTTCATGCAAACTCCAAATTTGGTTTGGTTAAAACTTTGCATTTTCTAGGTTGTCAGTATTCTATCCTAATGTTCACCTTTTAAACACAACAATATATACACATATATTCGCTTATCAGTTTATGAGCCAAGCTTATTGTGTAAAAGGTTGGTGAAGATATTGTAGCAGAATTCGAATTGGAGACCCATTACCTGAAATGTGACTACTTTAATCATTGAACCACATCTCTCCATAGATCATTCGTACAAACATTGGTACAAAACAAATCATTGGTGTTATGAGTCACTATGTGAAATGGTGTAATTTCTCCTTTTTTGGGTGGGTGTTTCCTTAAACTTAAGATACCCCAGTTTAGTTTTAGCCAAGACAATTTCTATAACACTTGTTGTAATGGATTTCTATACGTTAAGTGGAAATGGCGTTTTTTGATATGTTACCTAAACGAATATTGCCCAATGTTAAATTGCTCATACCTATCTGTACATATTTGTTTTACTTCTCTATCTTGTCATTGCATATATGCAGGTCAACATAATATTCAATCCACTATTACTAACCCAAGCGGATCATTGAACCATTTACCCTCAACAGATACCACATCTCAAGCACCGGCAGGGAATACCAATAGTACAGGTACACCGTCCTCCTCCACTACTACTACTACTTCTTTCAATGTTGTTGGTCGAAGTAAGTTGTATATGTATACTTTTGTTTCTTCATTAGTAATAACGTTGATAATCTTTTTGAATTTTTTACACCTTTACTTTCAACGAAATGTTTGTAAAAAAGAATGTTAATCTGTGTGTGTGTTAATGCGGCTACTGACTACTGTTCATTTAGATTGGTAAATCAAGATGTAAGACCAGGTTGCAGATATTCCTAAAGTGTATTGAATAAAATCCTAGGATGCCTTTCATATTGGTTTGTTGTCTTCCATTCATATAAGAATTGTATAATTTCGATTAATGTAAGTGTTGAACTTGTGGATATTAGATGACATTATGAGCACAATTTACTCCTTAGAATCATATCAGTGTATTCACATGGCTTCATAATTTGCTTTGTATATATTTTTTAAATCTCCCTCTTGTTGTTTATTGTAATTTTTCATATCTGAGGTATTGGCGTATCATCACTTAGACTGGACGTGTTTGATGTTGATTCGATGAACAAAGATTCAGCGGTTAACCTCTCTCTCTCTCCCCTCAAATTACTTCTTAATACTTTCCAACCTATCCCACTCTATTGTGTGATAAATTACGAGTAAATACAATCCAATGGCTGCGCTTTTATTTAAGTTATTTAATTTATTAGCAGGATCAATTATTCTAGGTCTTTCTAAATTTCTATATGCCAATAATCTAATTGACCGCTATCTACTAATCTGACCTATGTTGTCGACCTCACAGCCAGCATTACATGGTATTCGGTAAATTATATTATTCTTCCTAATTGGATTTGTTGGGTCAATAAACTGACAAAGTTTATCTCTGAGAGAGATGGTTGGTTGGTTTAAATGCCACCCTTATTCCAGCCTCATTAGGAATTCTACGTAAAGCTTCTGATGTTCCTTCTTGATACGGTAGTACTACAGACACTTTGAATTCTATATTGTTTTTTTAGCATCTAGATACTGTAAACATATTTGGTTGAGTATATAAATTATCGTCAAAACAAATTCACCTCCGTTTCTTTATCGCCTACATGAATGTATGAAATGAAAGCGCAGTTAATTACGATATGAATTTCCTCACCTACTTGGTCATATGCGATTTTGTATTACATCCTCAGAGTGGTACTGTCATCATATGAAATGTTATGTTTTGCTATTTAAAACGTTTATTTTACTGAGTTTTTACCTGACTGTAATATCTCTTGTGGTTTTTGCTATACTCTGCGCGAAAACACCTTGCGACTGCTTTTGTCCTCATCTTATTTATACACGTAAATAGTTAAAGCTTCCTCTGCTAAAAACTAAAATAACAATGACAATTCTTCCCTGGTCAGGGTTTTCAGCTATTTTATAAGTGCATAATAATTATTTTCACATTTTCTCCAATCATGAATAACCTTTATTGAGTCTAGTAGTGACTTCATCTACGCTTATCACACATTTAGACAGTTGGAGGATATCTATCATACAGAACCTAATGTTAATATTCAGTAGTCCAAATCGCCATTTCTCGTGTGTACATAGAAGACAGAGGGTGATATAAATGGCGGCAACGAAATCATATAAATAAATGTTGAAGAGTTATGTAAGGGAACAAAAGTAATGGTGAATCATACAGTAAAATTCGATGATACACTTACGTCTGTATTTCTTACAATGTACTTCCTTGAAACAACAGTAATGTTGCAAAGTTGGTGCTGGTCATTATATTTTGCTTCTGTATATATTGACATAAGACTGTTTTTGCATTACATTGAAGCATTGATAGTTAATCAGATACCTCACTTGCTCCAAAATTGATATAGATTGACCTAAGTCAAACAAGCTACTTTTGAATCTCTACTGAGGTACTGTCAGGTACCGGTCTTTCAGGGCTGATGTCATTTCAACATGCTTATCTACTTCATCACGTATAGTCAAACATGGTATCTATGTCCATTAATTTTATTGTATTGATGTATACTTTGACGGTGATGGATGGATCCCAAGTTTACTAAAATTGCTACCCAGAATACCCAAAACATTTAACTTAAAAATCTCCTGCGAGGAGGTCATCTACCCTGAAGTTAGGTGTTGAGTTAGAATGTGAATCAAAATGGAGAATGTGGACCTCTCTATGTGATCATCGGATAGGATAGTTCTCGACGAGTTTCGATGGCTACTATGGGTGTGTTTAAATATAGAATGCTCAGTAAGATTTATTTAACAGGTATGCTCTCCAGTGTAAGATGCTGCCATAAATCCTCTTGATCCTAACTTGATTCCCGAACCAGCTTCGGGTGAAGAAACATAGCTAGTGTCGATAGTCCTTGAGTATTTCTGTGTTCCACTACCTGATGAAAAGTAAATATCTGTCAGATACACTCACATTGTGGCCAAATGATAGCTGTCTGAGACTGTTCATAAGTGACTTCTCCTGAGATATTAAAATTAATGTTGCGTCTGTATCAATATCACTGCTACCAGGTACGAAACCCAGGTAAAGATTATGTCGGGATATTCAACAAAGTTTTCTGACATTTTTAATGCAAAAGTGGAAGACAATGTAGTTCGTTTGTTGTTTTTCCCGATGGAATACCAAATATTTTCACTAACAATGCCAGCAGCGCAATTTCTTCCTTGAGCCCTCACTATGACTATAACTAAATGGCCTTTCTAATGCATTACAACCTTGAGATGTACCATCTGGATAGTCATATCAGGTTTCGGTTAAGTATGAAGTTTCTTGACCACAGACACCAGTTAGAGAACTGGAGCACTGGACAGTTGTTTCGACCCACTTTGAGACTCTTCAGCACTACTCACCCACATCAACTTACTGGGAGGTCGAGTCCATTGAGTATTCATCCACTGGAATGGAATCCAACGATTCGTAAATTCTAACTTCTATCAATTCGCGGTTTATAGCGCCATCACCAACCAATGGCATCGATGAGTATTACTCCTCACACCCCACCTAGTGATTCCAATGATTGTGACTTCTCACTGAGAATTCCAGGTAGCTTCGTTCTTGAATATGCTCTACTAATATCTAACCTGAAAAAAAACAACTCCCATCGGTACAAGATTCAAACTGAAAACGTTAAGGATATTTTTGTCGACTGGAAGACAGTATATTCAGCCTTTACAGTTCTAAATATTTCCACCACTTTCATTCTCTGGAACATAATATCAACACTTACACTATGTTCAAAGAAGAATATGATCACAGGTTCTAACTCATATCCAAAAATTACCTGCATAAAGTAATGTTGCATATCTGTTATCCTATACATTTTATGTGATACTTCTTTTTGTGAGTTGATTAAGGTATGTACTTTTTTGTTTGCCTCTGGTTCTCATCCTATGTTTGCCTTCTTCATTATTCATTTCACCTTATTCGTAACCTTAGTGATATATATGTATGTGTATTCTTATCCGACACGTTATCTTTTCATCTAAAGTTACCTCTTCTAACTAATTCTCTTTTTTGTGTGAGCTAGGTGAATTGTAAACTAAAGTACATTTGATCTAAACTTCTTTTTTTTTAAATAATAGTTATTATTGTTAACCATACTTCATAATCATTAATAAAAAAAGGATACACTGAAGACACTAATAACCTACGAAAATTTAAAAATTTATTTAGATATATGTATATTAAATATTCCCATAGTAATATTGTAGAACAACACGTGTTAGCCAACAGTATTGTTTCAAATTTGATCACCAGGTTGATATCAGTTAGTTATTATTATTTTTGTTTCCTTTAATTCCTAGAGGAACATAGGGCTTCAGCCGCGCGTTTCCATTGCGTTCGGTTCTCTGCTAGAGTCTTCACCTGTCTCCAAGTCTGCCCACACGTTTTCATCTCCTCTTCACATGACCTCCTCCAAGTCACCCTTGCACTGACGACCAACTCGCCGATTCCCTCTTGGGTTTCACTCGAGCGATGGCTTGTCTAGTGATGTCACTCACTTGATGGTTTCCTCAGAGTATGGCCAATCCATCTCCATTTCTTCCTGCCTATTTGTTTCACAATCGGTTCCTGGTTAGTTCGCTCCCAGAGATCCCTGTTGCTGATCTTTTCTGGTCGGCCATCTGATCTTGAGTATTGAGCGAAGACAACTGTTAATGAAGGTGTGTAGTTTGTTTGAGCTGCTTTAAATGACGCGCCAAGTCTCTGATATCTGTTAGAGAACCATTGAAAACCGGCAGGGAGTACTGGGCAGCTATCTCTTCCTAGTTTAGGACTCCACACCAGTACACACTCGCCGGGATTCGAACCCAGGATCTTCTGGTTACAAGATAAAGTCGTGTTGTTTTTTTGATTAGATTCCGTCAGGCTTCACTCTAATATACACAAACTTACAAATATTTATTAAATAGAAATCAATCATATTGATTTGCTAATAGGATGATAAGATTGTGTACATCTCAGTTAATCTTGATGTCTATGACGATAAGAATATTCAATACAAATATATCTTCAAATACAGGCAGTGGATAGGGGCTAAGATTAAAAAATTGTCATACCATGTTGTGTTTGACAAAATAGCGGTAAGCAAGTAATTAAAATAATGTAAGTAATGCTAATGCTAATAATTAATTGGTTATGTGTTCACTTGTCAAGCGGCAGTTGGTGACTGGCTGAGCTTCTTCTGAATGTATAATTTAGGTTTATTAGTTCGAATGCTGACGAGAGTCTCAGCTATATGCAGTGGACAAACAGCAGAACAATTGTTAATATTCGATAGGATATGATGAATCATGTGGAATGTTTATTTTATCCACAGAGTGGTAGTTGTCAACTAAAAAACACGAAATGTTTCTTAATTCTCCTTTAACATTTCATAACGTCAGATGTTCTGTGACAAGGTGTTTTAGATGTCTCCGATTGAATTGAGTACTATTGAAGTTAGGTGTCGGGTGTATGCTAAGGAGGAAAAATTAATCGATTAAGTGGCGAAGCTAGATCGATTAAAGTAGCTAGGACACGTATTGTGCATGCCAAGCCGTCGCCTTCTTCTATGAA